AGATTCATATTATTTTTAATTTATTTCATGTTGATAAGTGAAATGAGAAGAAGATTGTTAATGTATCTGCCCCTCTGCTTGATTTGGTTGCATCTTTTCTGGGTTTTCTTCCTCTGAAGGGTCATGTTGCTTTTACTTACAAGAATATAGGAATATGAGGGGAAAAACCTCCCAGGAAAATACGGCCAGTTTGTGCGGATTTTTTGTTATTTCTTACCTTGAGTATTATTATAAAAACTAATATTCTTTTCTAAACATGTATACAACACAGGACATAAAAATACTGTGGAAATAACATATATTTAATGTCAGTAATATTTCCCTGGTGTAGGGGAGTGGATTTTAAAGGTTATTTATGTGAATGTAAAAGATGACTTGGCCTATATTGCTTTATTCTAATCTAAGAAATGTATAGCAATGTTGCAAAAAGAGAGGTCATGCCTTATAGTAACAATGATAGGTATGAATATAGCCACTGAGCTTCGGCTGCACTGTGCCACATTATGTATTATGCCCAGTAAGCGTGTAGATCAAATTCCTAGTTGCAAACAAATTTTAGTGCTTGATTTCTTGGGAGTCCTGTATGCAGGATAAAGAAGTGATTCACTCAGTTTTAGAACCTGAAACAAGCGCTTCAGAAAAACATTAACTGTAGTTCAGTCAGAACTGAGGACAGAAATTTTCTCTGAAAGGGCAGACACACTTGGGCATTACTTAGTGTGCATTGGGAATGGTGTCTTCATGCAGATACCTGTATCTTATGCCACCCATTTCCACAAAGACAAGTGCCTCATTTTCTTCAAGTCTGAAGGAATGGAACATGTTTTGTTACTTCTGATATCTCTTGGGGTAGATAGCTTTTGATATTCTATATTTTTGCTCCTTCCATGACAACATCAGCTCCAGCAAAAAATCAGGATATTTAGTGGAGTAGACCTACTGTACTACTTCATAGGGGCATCATGTCTCTATTGAAGTTAATGGGAGTTTGTTATAGATTTCAACAGAGCCAGGGTTTCTCTCCACAGTTTGAAGATATAATCTAGCCACTGGATTTGCAAGATTATGCCAGCCATTGTTTTTATTGAATTTTTTACACGAATTATCTAGTAAATAATTAAATACACACTTTTTTGTGGATAAAAATATGCTTCTTTTGGCCGCTCTTTTTTGTGGATAAAAATATGCTTCTTTTGGCTGGTATTTTATTGCAGTCAAGCACATTCTGTTCAGGATAGCACTTTATAAAATATAATTTTGACCATATTTTAACTTAAATGTGATTTAAATTGTGATAACATTTTATGTAATATCACTTTATATGTACCTGTCTCAGAAGACATAATCCTGAAATTTATTGTATGGCTGTGCTTTGTAGATCAGTTGGATGTTGGCAAACCATTCTTCATATGTTACAAACAGTATAGTATATTGTATTCCAAACGCATTTGAAGGAAATGGTTCTGCCTCTTCCAAATGTCTTTTCAGGCCTGAATTACCTAGTTTTTACCTGTCAAAAATAAGCTATTTCATATTAATGAAGTTTGATATTTCTAGAGAAAAAAAACAAACTTAATAGTACAATATACCGTAGAGGTGTGTTACCCTATATTTTTAATTTCATGTTATGTTTATAATGAGTTTATAATTATGTTTTTATAAGCATACATTTTTTTTTTCTGCAGGCACAAATGTTTATATCCAAGGCTGTAGGTGAGCTGTTATTGAGTACATAATATCTGTCACATTTGACTACAGATATAATTACGCTATAGTCACCTTTTGAAAGCACTTCAGTATATATCTTGCATATAAAAATGGCTACGCTAAAAACATCTTAATCTAGTATCAACAGTATTTAATGAAAACCAAAAACTGGAGTTGAAACACCTTTTTTGTGATTAAATACAGATTACAAATTCAGTTTGACTTCCAGCTTGGAGTCTTCCAGGAATTGTTTTTTAAAAATTCCTTCTCCGGAAAATCTTACAAGAAAACAGGATTGGCCTAAATAGTAGGATAGCAGAATGAAAAGATCATTTGGAGGTTTTAAACAGCAACAGTTGATTTAAAAGAAAAACATAATAATAAAAAGAGTTAGTTAGTTAGTTAGTGTTTGGAAACATAGGTACTATTTCATTCACCTGCATTCTATGCATGCCTGAGTACTCCAGCATAAACCAACACAGTTCATGCGTAATAAATTCTCCATCCGTCACTCTTGAAGAATTGTGGAAATGAATTGCATATCTTCACAGACTCATTTTTTTTATAAACTAAGGTATTGATCATAATTAATTATGAATGAGACAGTTTGAGAGTAAATGCTAGGATGGTGATAATTTCAGTTATGGATGATTTTTTTTTTGAGTAAAGATTTTTTTTTTTTTTTAATTCAAGAGCATCTAAAGATACATGTTGCTTAGACAGAGATTGGTGGGATGACATATATGGATGCTTCCTAGTCTGTATATGGAAAATGTTTTTGAATATGTTTTTTTTCAAAAAGTGAGAAATACTTTTCTCACCAGGAGGGTAGTAAAGCACTGGAACAGGTTATCCAGAGAGGTGGTGGAATCTCCATCTTTGGAGGTTTTTGAGACCTGCCTAGACGAAGCCTTGGCTGGGATGACATAGTTTGGTATAGTCTTGCTTTGAGCAGGGGGTTGGACTAGATCAGGGGTGAGCAGTTATTTTGTCTCTAGGGCCACTGAATGGGTTTTTTGCTCAGCTGCCAAGGTCCACAAGGGTATACCTTTCATCAAACTATTAAGCCCCACCCCCTGAGAGGTGCCCCACCCCCTGGCTGCCATTTTGGGATCAGAAGTCCCACCTTTAACCCCTTCCCCTTGCCCTAGAAGTACTCCTTTTGAGAGGGGAATTTGTAGTCTTGGAAGTGGACGTCCCACCCTGTCGCACAGTCCATGACATAAGAAGACCCACCCAGCCAACATCAAACCCCACCTGCCTCAGCCCCCATGATGACTGCCCTATAGGCCACTTTGTTGATCCCAGGTCTCCTGACTAAAATATCCATTAAGGTGCCTTGCAGGCGAGACCAACAAGGGAAGGTACCCCAAGGAGCTGAGGGGAGGCAGGAGTAGCTTGGCTACCAGGGGGCATCAGAGCCACTCTTGGGGCAAGGGCCTGCTATGCTGTCTTTTAACTGGTATGTTATTAAAGTGATTTTTTCCCCATTTACTGATGTATTTTTTTCTCTAAAATAAATTATTGTTCCCGAAGGCATGGGGAAGGTAATGCGAAAGAATTGTTGACATTTAAATTGCATTGAAATGGTCCCAAGTAGATTTTGTTTAATTTACAGAGGTAAATTGTGGGGGCTGGGAAAGGCTTCCATTTCACTGAAACAAATCGGATTGGGAAGAATCTTTGTTGCTGTGTAGTTGAAGGCAGTTTTTTGACAATGCATGTTGGTAAGGCATTAAAAGAAATAAAATCTCCAAAGGAGAACATTTATAAATACACATTTAAATGGTTTTGCAACATTTTTGGATGGAGAATTTAAGATAGATGCATTTATATGCTCTCTTTTTTATATATGTCTGCTGTAAACTGTTTGCACAACAAAGTAAGAAGCATTTTAGACTTAAGTACAGCTATTTTGTGAAGAAGATTTTCTCATGGTTTTTGTGGTGGGATTTTTAATGTAAACACAATTTATTTGTGCTATTTAGGAAAAGAAAAACTAATTTTGCTCTACCTGAAGTAAATGAGTACAGGCAGTCCTTGACTTAGAGTGTTTCCAGTTACAATGTTTCGCACTTGCAACGATTATAAATTGAAACCCCATTTCAACTTTTATGATGTCAGTTTTGACTTTACAATGCTTGATCCTATGCGACGCCATGCCAACGAACAAGTTCACTGCGTTGCTCATCTCCCTGGAAACCATCTGTCCATATTGCCTTGGATACTTGCTTTAAGAAAGCTATATTACTCGCTATAATTGATTGAGTACCAAATTCTGGGGTATTTTTGGTGAAAATAGGGTATCGGGCCTTGGTTCAGGAACCAATCCCCCATTTATAACCTTGTTTCTTATGAGAAAATTGATTCCAAGTTACAGCGTTTTGACTTAAGATACGGTTTTCAGGAACCAGTTGTGTCGTAAGTCTGAGGACTGCCTGTATATCTGTCAGGTTAAGGTCCCCGTAACATTTCCAACAGGTGTTAAAACTGACAGTTTGGGGGCAGAATCTCAGCTGTTGTAAAGTTAGTATAGCTTGAGGATCTGACTACCAGCTTTTAAATGAACTTTTTTTTCTCCTATCTGTCAATAAACTTCCCTGTTGGTACCACAGAAGAGTTTGAGTAACTTTACCCAACATCAGTGTTGCATTAGGTGGAGGAAAGCAGACCAACTCCCATTCTTTATTTTCACTGCCCTCACTTAGAATGATTATGTAACTGTTTCAAATGCATAATTGTTATTGATTAAACACTGTGGACTTCATTAGGAACTACTGAAAATTGCAGAAATGGCAGAATTGCTTGTGTTCCAGTATTTAAGTATTTGAAATCTGTTAGAAGAATGAGACGCATCCAGACGCACATGCATGCACAGATGCACCCTTTACCTTGGATTGGGAGAAATTTCATAGAAAACCAAAGTAGAGAAACCTCCCTTTTTTAAGCCTCCAAAGTATCCCACTCAAAATGGACTAGTGTGGGTTAAGGTTTGACTGGCCTGCTATTTTAAAGCAATGTAATATCTAATGGGGATTAGTTCTCTTCCTGAGTGTGCTGAATATGTCACCCCTGCAGTGGTTTCAGCTTCTGTCCGTCTGGCTTAAATTTGTTATCCTTCAAGTCTCAAGTATTTAAGCTACTAATGTTTGGTAGCGTTTCAGTGAGTTACACCAGAAAAAGACTATTCAACAATCAAACTTTTAATTAATCATCTGAGCATCTATTTTATTTTTAAATGACCTCTTAGATGATCACTTGGATGCCTGTCTAATTATATTTAATTTCCACAGATACATTCTCTTAATGGGCCTTCAGGATCGAAATGAAAAGCTTTTCTATAAAGTGCTGACTTCTGACATTGAAAAGTTCATGCCTATTGTTTATACTCCCACTGTGGGTCTGGCTTGCCAACTGTATGGTTTAGCATTTCGGAGGCCAAGGTATGTAAGTTTATACTTCAAATAAAAGTAATTGTATCTCTTTCTTCTCTTGGCAGGTTTCTGCAGGGTTTTTTCCCCTTGACATAGTTGAATGTAATTCAAAACTGGAATATTTTAGATTTAATTCAGACTTCATTAACTACATTTTTACTTTACATCAAATTGTAATTTGTATTGTTTTGCACTACTAAACTGTTGTTTTAATATATTAAGACATAGATGAATGTTACAATCTTACTAAGCCGAATACGGTTGTCTTACCAGCCCAGCTGTTTTTCATATGCCCACAGAAAGATGAACTGACCCCAAACCATATTAAAATTAACCAGGTGGAGAAGAAGAAACCAGTTGGAGAAGGATTGTATTCAGACCTTTTTATAGCAATTTTTCTCTCTCTTTTAAAACTAGTTTAATTTGGACCACAAATTTGTAATGGTACAGCACCTGTACCGTTTAGAAGTAACATCTCTCCTATTAGTCTTACCAAGTAACCCTTAGAATTGTGTTGGGGTTTTTTTTTGAAGTTGGTTGTTTTAGGTTGTCTGAGTACATGACTGTGTATGCAATATTGTTATTAACAAGGACTGTCCTGTTTTGCTTTCTGACATTATAAATAGTTTTCATGGAGGATTGAAACTACATAATTAAAATATTACTGAGTTGAAATATTAAAGTAATCGTCTTAATTTGAAGGACCAAATTCTCAGCAGGTATGCCATATTGATCTGAATCCAAGATGACCCTGAATATAACATGACTCCCCAATAATTATAAATTCATTATTTTTCAGGTATAGTATCTAATTATTGGAAGGTCATCTTAAATTTGTCACCACCACCAGCAAGGAAAGCAGTTATGGGGTCAGGTGGTATGGAGGTGGTAAGGGAGCAGGCAGCTTGCCTCCTGCCCCCCGCCCCCTCCTGAAGCCTCTGCTTCCCTCCTGCCTGGGCCAGGACCAGGTGTGCCCCAGGGTGCAGTAGGGATGAACCCTTCTGGTGCCAGAGCAAAGGTAATCCAGGAGGGTTGGGCAGAGGGAACTGGGAGGGGTGGGAAGTGAGCAGGAGCTGAGGCTGTAGGGGGCACTGAAGTGGGGCAGGGAGGAAGAATGAGGGAGGGTGGGGCCCTGAGGCTGCATCAGGGAGAGGTAGGGGGTACAGAGGCAGTGGGGGTTAAAAGAGATCTCCTGTAAATTGCATATTGGACAATCCTCTGCTATTTTGAGGAAAAGAGGTAAAACTATGCAACTGTTTAAT